AAATATCTCTCCTTCGATCGTTGATCGCTTGGAGAGGTAGTACGAATCCTTATCTTTGCTTTCCTTTAAATAGTAAGCGCAATTGAGCTCCTCAGCTATTAGCTCGCCAAGGCTGTGCTCGTCGAATGTGATATACATAGCGACTGCTATCATATATGTATTTGGTGTCAGCTAGAATAGCACGATCTGGAAGTGGTTGAGGATCGACCTAATGTAGGGATGGAAGGGTATCCTCACCATACATTTGAAAATCGCTTTCGAGATCGCGGCCAATCCCTCGGGAGGATCTTAAGCAGTGTGCAACGTGTGTTGAAAGACATTTAGATTGATCGCGTATTGGTTAATTGCTCTTTGTATTTCATCCTTCAAAATTGTTGATCGTATCACCTTTCCAGGACCCGTCGAGGTGCCTGGTGGTTGCAAGCTTCCCTCTCCGGCTGTTCTCGCCTCAGAGGTGTCCATTGCTCTTGGAGTCTGTAAATGTATGACATGTAAAGGTGACTCAATCTCCATATAAATTACCTCGTACAACGACTCAAAAGATTAAGAGAACCTTGGTTTCTTTTACATAGCCGCCAAAACCCTAAAAATTCTTAAGGATAATTTTCTAAAGATCTATGTCCTAAGTTTTGACTCTTAATAGTGTTTCTTTTCAAAACACTACCTGAGAATCTTCATTGTCTAAGCGTATCAGACATCCATACCCACCATTACTGTAAAGATTAAGTTTTTGACAGAAATGAAAAAGAGAAGAAGAGAATAAATTTTCTTTACCTCTTGATTGTTGGGAATGGCTACTCTATTGTAGCATCGAGTGCGAATCAACCGAGAAGGGGATGAACTGATATTTTGAGTGCAAAAACATCATTTTTCTCTCTGAAAGTTTGAGTTTTGTGAAAAAACTTAGAATGGGGTTTGCGTTTTATAGAGTAGAAGACGACGCTTGGTTTCTTTTATAAGTGACGTTTGGACGGGAACGCGTTTCCAGCCATTGATTGTGACCATGTGTCACTAATTCGCATGAAGAGTAACCTTCACGCTTCGTGGAGATCAACCGGCGTCTTTCTTGAAATCGCCAAACGTCGGCGTGATTATCTCCTCCATATTAAATGTTCCCTTATCTGCATTTAATGTTCAAAAGGGAATGTCATTTCAGCATGACTTGCATTGAATGCTCATGGCTGACACTTATTACGCAGAGACATGTCTGTCAGATAAAACTTATTTTATTGACCAAGACAACTGTCAAGCACAACAGATAACATCTAAGGAGGTCATTCGAATAAGACATATGTTCCACATGTCGAATTCGAACATCGAGCAAAATGATTCTCAATTTTCGATAGCAAAATATTTTAAGTGTTTTCAAGTCGTGAATGGCAAATAGAGTTCGAAATATATTTTCGTAGCACTGATCATGATTTGGACCAGGTTGCTGGACCTTTGTGAAATGATCACGTCAGGTCGCTTGTGCAATTCTCGAAGACCCATGTCACTATCTACACTCAGTTCGTTGGTCAAGGCAGACTATTAGTCTCACATCGTTTGTAACAGTGTGGCTTGAGACAAGTCAGGTTGCAGCATAATCATGAAGTTCTCAAGATTCAATCTTTGAATCTTAAGAACTAGGGAGCTTCTGTTATGTCTAAAAAATCAGGGCTGACGTTAGCCTACATCAGTGGGCACCGATTAGAGTTCAGGAAGGCTTTATACCGCTTAGGAGCTACCACATCGCTCCATGACAAGAAGAATATGGTTGTCATCAACTTGGCAAATTCAGGTTTTATCTATGAGTTATAAAGGGCCGCACACATGTCCAAACCTCAGGTAATTTGAGGATATTTCCTAAGTTATCAGCCAATGGGAGGCAAGTAAAGACTTGCACAACATCTACCCACTTGCAGATTTGTAATCATTACCTTGAATTCCTCTACTATAAATAGAGGACTCCCCCTCTTATTTTCGGGATTCTAATACTGAACCCTCATTCTGATTGTAATCTTTATTTTCAGAGCAAAGAAAATCCACGAGAAAGGGACTGACTTGATATTCTATTTGAATACCCAGTTATTATACCTCTGCTCGCTGTTCGCTATACGTGACCTATTGTAATTTCTCATATATAAAAGAAACAGTGGACATAGGATTCGCTTTAGGCATTCGAACCACTTTAAAAACTTTGTATCTGATCATAATCATTCATGTGTAATTTCTGAGAATAGTTTAGCACTTTACACGTGTGAGTCATTGGTGTCAAAATCAAGCATCAACACTTTTCATATGCATTTTTTTTTTTTCAATTGTGGAAGTTGATTAAGATTTATTTTTCATCTATTTATGTAGTTTATTAAGTATTATTATCGATATTGCATTTTCGGAACACAAGGCAAAAGGCCAAGTGTTCTATGTTCTAGGACAACGATATGTAAAAACAGGAACATATTAAATAAATCCAGAAAACACATAAAACATGAATCTTTGATTCAAACGTTACCATGTGTTGTTACGCAAAAATGCAACAATTAGAGATACCTAATCGATTTTGATGGGATTAGGTAGGATGTGTATGTGGTTATGAATAACTTGCAAAAACCAAATTAAAAATAAATAATGAAAGGACAAAGACGATTTTAAAATGATTCGGTAAGTTAAAATCGAACTTACGTTCACTGTTAATGGTAAAGAAAATATGAAAAACAAAGATGAACTCTTCGTTCTTTGATTCTTTCTCTCATTTCTCTCTTTAAGTGTGTTTCCTATTTTTATTTGAATGATCGATCTCCTTAAATGGAGGCTACTTCCCTTTTTTATACATCGTTTGACAATGGTTGAGAGTGGTTGTTATTAGGGGGTGGATTAATGCATAATCCCTATAATTAGATCTGAGTCACACACCTATGCTTAAATTGATAAGTCATTTGTTATGGGGCGAGCTTGACCGTTAGATCCTGAAATGGTGTAAGTACAAGTGACACAAATCTGGCAGTTGAAAATTCCATTGCACAACACCATGGATTTTGTCAATTTAATAAAATATATTAATAATAAACAAGAAGCTTATCATCAAACTTGCAATGGGCAAGGAACAAGTTTCCCACTAATGAGTTGAAAGAAATTCAAATCCTTAATCGATCCTCTCAATGACTAGAAATGTTAATCAAATAAGAGTTCATTAGATTTAATCTTAGCCAAACTGAAGGAGCTGAAGGAGTAAAGAGAGAGATAAGACCTTCGACTTGTTCATTGTATTTTCAGTTGACTCCTTGAGACCGCGATTGTCATGTGAATAAGTCCGGCAAATCTTCAATTTTAAGGCATTCTTTATCCAACGAAAATGAGAAAAGCAAGTGCCAATACCTCCTTCTTTGTACTTAGATTCATCCGCTGCAACATTTACAATTTTGCAGAGTCACAGTAAGAATTCCATGTCTTCGATCCTGCAAACATTAATAAAAGCACATTTAATATAGTAAATGAAATACTCATTAATTAATCCTTCGGTACTCAGAGACTCATAGTTACTTAATTACCATAAACAATACTTTAAATAGTTCTGCATTTATAAAACCTTAGAACGCACATATCAAAGCATGCATGCATAGCAATTAAAGCACTCAAAACAAAGACAATAATATAATTGTTAACCCTTAAGCAGTAGATCTGAGTTGTGTGCCTTATGAGCATCATTTGCTTCATGGAGTTGAAAATCAACAAGTTGTTTGAAGCTATTGATTGACGCAGTGTGTGTACAGATGAACTTACTTGTTTTTCCTATGCACCGGGACTGTATATTTGTGCTCCATTACCCCATTTTTTTTCCTTCTTGAATGTTAATCTAAAGCAAGAAGAAGAAGAAGTGAAGTCATCAGAAGCTCATATAATGATCAGTTGCTGAATTAATGAAGAACAAAATGAAAAGAAGAATACACGTGCAATGCAATTGAGTCCTAAGGAGTTAACAGCTCGGTTACAAAGCTGTCATTAGTTATTAAATCAAATTATCAAAACAAACCGTTTTGGTTTTAATACTCAATGGCTCAAACAAGAACAGAGAAGATCGAAGAGGCTGGGGTTTTACAATATCAGTAGCTCCTCTCCTCCAGTGTTTGAAAACATGCTGTACGATAAGCGTTTCCACAGTGCACCAGCTTTGTACTTATTGAAGTAATGAAAATCAATTAGATTTTTCCTCTACAAAGGTCCCTTTCTCTCTAGTTTTGTTCTTCATTTTTTTGTTTGATTACAGTCACTTTCATTGAAGTAATAAAAAAAAAAAAAAAAAAGGAATTAATTTTAAAGGAAGGATATGTTTTGTAATCAGTTGGGCACGCACCCATCTTATATATCCTGTTTTATTGGAGATAATTAAAACTTAAGAAAATTCAGTCATTAAGGAGGAGTAATGACAGAGAGATAACTATATGGGCCGAACTGGCGCCGTGGAGTCCATTTTTATATTCTACGGCCCAATCCAATTTGTAAGTAAATAAACTAGCATAAACGTGGCTAATTGGTCAGGCCTCGATCCTAACGGAATTCCATCGCTTACGGTCTTTATTGGATGAGAAATACTAGCTCAAGTCCAGCCTTTTAAAAGAAAGGAAAAAAAAAAAATTAAGAGAGAAAGAGATAATCATAAATTTTAAAGCTTGGATTTGACTTTTGTATGGCAGTATTACTCTTATTGACTTTCGTCGGGTTTTTACTTGATGGAAATAAGCTACAGCCTCAAAGAGATTTAGAATTAGACACAATCCAAATCAGATGCCAATCCTTCTGCTTCCATCAAAAAGCTGCAGCTATAATCGTGAATTCTACAGTCTGTCAAAGTGCAGGATTGATGAAGTTTATAATAAGTTTCATGCGATAAATTCTCTATTGTGATTCTTTGTTATATGTCTTCACCGTTCCTATTAATCCCAGTCATAATTAATCAAATATAATTTGTGTAGACCTAAGAAATGGATGGACAGAGACGGGTTGTTCATTAGATTAAACACTTAAAAGCAACCAAAGTGAGGAGACAAAGATAGAAATCAACAAAATAGGAAAAGCACATATACTTGAGCCATCCTTTAAATCACCATTAACAAAGAATTAAAATGTTTAATTCCATATACACATGATATATTATTATACACACATAATATTCAAAAATCAAAATGCAGGAATTGGAATTTTCTTTGGTTTGGTCAATGCATTGTAAGACCAAACTTCTGAAGAAGAGTCTGGATGCTGGCAATAATCGCCAAGCTGTTACTCAACGCCTCCTTTGACTTTTGCATTTTACTCTTCACCTCATCAAAAACCTTTGATCCCATCTCCTCCAACCCATCAAGGCAACTATCTTCATCCGTCATGGCGGCACTAATCCACGTCTGGACATCGTTGACCTTCCTATCTGTCAACATCTTCTCTCCGGAGCCCACCTCCATCTCAGATACCGAGTCGTTAAGTCGAGTCAGAGCGTCCTCAAACTGAGTCATGCAATCTTGTAAAGCAGGCTCAGAGTGGACATCGTTAAGAGTTTTGAGGAAAGAAGTGATATTTGAGAGCCCTTTGATGCTGACTTGGAGGGATAGCTTGAAGATGATTTCTGGGTCGGAGTTAGTTGGGACGTTGAGGGAATATATGGAGGAGAAGCATGAGTCAGGGTACTGAGTCTCGCTACAAACTGTCTTGATTGAGGCCATGGAGTCGGAGGAGAGAAAAGGTGAGGCGGGTGGTTGAGCGTTTGTGTTAGATTCATGATGAATGAATACTGCAACCATAAAACCGATGAGTAAGACGGCGGAGATGGTGACGGTGATAGCGGCGGTGAGGCGTTTTTGAGGTGGAGGAGTTTGATTTTCATGGGGGTGGTTCACTTTGTTGTAGCCTTTGATGAAATTGATGGAATCCATATGTTTGTGGCTTTGTGCCCTTGTTTGGATGATAGACTTTGAGGGGGTTCTGATATTGGTGGATTGTGTCGGTCAATAGCAAGAAGGGTCAATAATAAAGAGGAAAATTCTATTTAAAATAAAAGGAACAAATGATATTTTATTGAAGGATTAAGTTGCACATTGAATTCGTATATAATAGAAGGCGTCAAATAGCCAACCAACTATCCAATGTTTGAAGTGATCAAATTTTGGCTCCTATTCTGCTACTCAATCAACAAAAATGTTAAGGGCCTTCACCGCCGGGTTACCCATTTTAATATTTATCAAAAACTTTAAAAATTAGGACAATGATCGATGAACAATTGAAGGTTAAACTGTTTAGGGTTTTGAAAAGAAAGGATGGGTAAGTGAAAAAGTGACGACAAAGGTAATTTTCGATGAATGAATCAACCAAAAATAAATCAACGACAATAACAGGTTGTTGTCGACAAACAAGGGAAGGGTAAGATAGGTTTTAGTTAGAAGGCTAAGGAGACTATTTTCGTAGTGATGAAAAGTGTTGTCATCGCCACAAACAAACCTTATTTGCCTTGGGTTGTCAAAACCACAATAGTGTTTAAGGTGTTTTTGCAAAATATCAAACTTATAGAGACTTATATGTACTTTTTAAGGTTGTTTTTGTTAAATTTCAAACCTTTAAACAACTGTTTGACAGGCCAATCAAACCTTGACCGGTTAACCGAAACCCGACCACTTTGCCAGTTTCACCGGGATTGTTATTAAAACACTGATCAAATCTCCATTCTTTCAAAAAAAAAAAATAATAATAATAATAATAATAAATAAATAAAAACAATTATGCTTCGCCAGGAATACATCTTCCCGTTGTTATTGCACCAGAGAGACACAAAAAAAATCCAGAAATGTAATATGAACCCAAAGACGACAATAATCAGATTATCACCCACTGGCTGATAACATCTCTCTAAAGTTAAATGTTTCATTCTCTTTTTATTAATGAAAACCGAGTAGGTTTTGCATTTTAGTAAAAACACCCAACATCGCCTTCATGAAATAATAAATCAATAAAATGATAGCAACATCAGCAAGCTGGTTTACTAACACAAAAAAACACGGTTCTTTTTCATGGAAACTTTAATTTTAAGATAATATCATGTCGAGCTAAAATAAAAATATTCAAGATCCATAACAAGAAACTTCTCCTCAACTTAAAAAGAAAATTGCAGTAATTTGACAAAACTAGCCTGGTGCACTGTGGTGATAAATATTAGATGTGATAACAATCCAACTACTACCAGCAAAAGATAATAAATTGCCACTTAATCCTCGTCTTCTTCATCTCCATCTCCACCAGCAGCTTTCTTAGCAGCTGCCTTCTGGTTCCTTCTCTTCACTCTTCCAGGGCGACCACCACCAAATGGACTTGTGAGTGAGAAATCAATGTGCTTCTGTGAATCAACCCGAACCATGAAAGATGGGATGTTCACCACCTGCCTACCAACCCTGCCCGGCCAAAGAAAATTCACATTCAGTACAGTGAAAAAAACACTTGAAAATAAAGCATGAATTCTACATGTTTACCACTTCCAAAAACGTACACAAACCCATTTCACTCCAAGCATCATAATATCTTACACTCTGGGAAGATGATTCCTCCGCAAAACAGGTAACATAAACTCAAATGTTATCATGAACTTTAAATGATGCTACATACATAGAACTCAAAAATTTAAGCAAGCTGAAAGAAGTTTGACGTTGAGGTGGTTTCAAGCAACACCAAAAAGGGTAGCGAGAATAAAAATGGCCTAGTTTAATATTATTTATAATATTGCTTATAATGGAAACAAATCATTTACATTCCTCTGAATCATCAACATAATTCCATGGGGATATACAAAAAGAGTATGATTTATGGCATTATTAACATCAACTACAAGCAGAAAGGTCATAAAAAGAAATTCCAGCTAAATACAATCATGCGGAATCCAAAATTGGCAAAGAGTAAAATCTGAAACTGTTACCATATATCCATAACAACCAATTGATAAGCCTACCTGATATGCCTCTGCCTGATAAGCACACGGGCATGGTGGATAGACTTGGCCATGCCCATCTTGAATACATGGGTTTGCAAGCGGCGCTCAAGGAAGTTCTCAACAGTCAAGGCCAAAACATAATCGAGCTTGTTCTGGCTCTCATCCAAAAGCCCAAAGCGGTTCATCCTGCGAAGAAGAGCCTCACCCTCAAATATCCGACGTGGGTTCTTCTCATCAAGGGTCAGAAGCTCCCTTGCAGCATTACGGATGCGACTCAAGGCATATTGAACTCTCCACAGCTCCCTCTTGCACCGTAACCCATACTCTCCGACAAGCCTCAGCTCAGCATCCAGACGCTCCTTCTCATAGGGACGACGGGGCTTCTTAAATGTCTTCCCATCTTAAGATATTCATAGAATATTCAGCAAGAAATCAGTTTCTAAAGTAATTTGATAGAAAGAAGACACTAGTTTAAAAAGTTTTCATCTCTAATTGATGACGACAAAATGCTAGTTACTTTTGATGAGTGAAACGAAAAATACTTCCACCAAATACACTCAGTAAACTAAAACTTTTCACTTTCAGCATAACAACAATGTTTTAAAACATAAATATTTCCATTTTCTACTCCTCAACATTCGCAGAGACCAATCAAATCATATAACGCAAAGCTTTTCATGATAAAGTGACTGAAACATCAACTCAACCTACTTCTAAACCAAATTATTTATTACTACATCCTGAGCTTAATGATCAAATTATTTTCTCAGACAAATAGGATCTAAATCCGAAAGAAAGAACAGATCATAAACAATAAACAATAACAAATCAAACGTCAAACAGATCGATTCGCATCTTAAAGACCTTAGTTTCATCACATTCTTATGATCATCAAACAACTTCAACTACGAAATCCAAAATCTGAACAAACAAATATGAAGGGAGAGCTTACAGTTGCGGTAAAACGAGACGTGAACCATGTTGCCTCTTCCGCTAGGCCGTCTCTCCCGTTTCAAATACCAAGTACAAAATAAGAGACTGTGAGATCTTATAAGCAAACCCTAAAAACCCTAACCCTGGAATCACATATTAACTGTTACCAAACACATTTCTATTTGCCTTAAATGTTAATGCCCAGCCTAGCCCACGCTGTTGTGTGAGTTAGGGCCCAATTACCTCCAAAGCCCATGATTTTCTTGACCCAAAATTAGAATAATTTTCTCTGACAACGGCCCATAGTGATAAATTCCCAAAGCCCCTTATATTTTAGAATTTCACAAATTACCCCTATTATTAAAGATTGCAAGTAAAGAAGCTGAAGCTTCATGTTCTAGACTTTTAGTATAGAAATTTCTCTCCTCACGTGGAAACAGAAGCTCTAAATGCATATAATGGAAGGGTTAAGAAGAATCCATCACGTGTCAAAACCAAAAGGTTCCCATGTAGCATCTCATGAAAATAGCTTTTAATTATTATGAAAACGTCACCCGCCAGTTACACTTCGCAATCAATCATAATTAAGACCCTTTAATATTGTATTTACGTAAAAATATCAAATTATATAAAAATAAATTTTAATTATTTGTAGGTAATCGATTGATTCGATACGAACTCTTAAATGTATTATTAAAAAGATCCTATTCAAATCACTCTTTGATTGCTAATAGGTTTAGCACTGAAACTGTTACTTGACCAAAAATTTTAAGATTCTAAAAGATTAGTTAAGGTGTTAGTAAACTGACTCTAACACCCCTATTATTAAAAAAAAAAAAAAAAAAAAAAAAATAATCTTGGCCCGTTAACTTATGCAATCTTTGTTGAAAGGCATGATGTCAAAGTCGGTCAGCATCCACAACATACTGACATTATGGTACAAACCTAAAGTTAAATGTTATCTATCGTTATCTCTTAATATTAGATTAATTTGGTTATTTAATTGAATTAATTACTCTTTAAAAGAGGAGTTAATAAAAAAACAGAAAACAAAAAAAAAAAAAAAAAAATTGAAAATTAATTATTTTGTTTTGTTTGGTTAAAATAAAATGAACGTTAAAAATAAAAAATATAAACCGCACTTTCAGAGGCCGGTGCCAGCTTTTTTCTCTATTTGTCTCTGCCTTCTTTCTTTGGGTTTTCTTCTTCTACTTCTTGCCTTTTTCTTAACACTCTTTAATTACGCCAAAACAAGAATTCTCTCTGGCTTTTTATTTGAAGAAATGGCAACGAATATTGGGATGATGGACAGTGCTTATTTTGTTGGGAGGAATGAGTTATTGACGTGGATCAACAACAGGCTTCAACTTAATCTTTCTCGCGTTGAAGAGGTACCCTTTTGCCTTCTTGCTCCATTTGTTTGTTTCACTGTTTTGTTGACTTGGATTTCGAATTGTTCGTTTCTGTTTTTAGTTTGTAACAGAGATTGTTGGGTAGAAATGCTGTAGACTGAATCGTTACAGTTATTATTTCTATTGTTTGATTTTGATGAATTCGTTTCATTTTTATTGGAAATTGAGAATTTTCTTTTGAAAAATCCCTATTTTGTTTCAAAAATGGAAAAAACAAAACAATGGCTTGTTAATTGAGTGTAAAGGTAAAAGCTTTGCTTTGAAATGTTGTCTTTTTTTGTGGTGATAGTTTAGCTTTTTTTTTTTACTGGGTGTTATGAATTTCAAGATGTTGACGAATGTATTAACAATACCTATCTTTTGATCATACAGTGAATTGTGTTTTTTGATTTTATTTTGGGGCTTTGGAATTTGAACCTTTTTGATTTTTCTTTGTATGAACCATTGATGGGTAGGCTGCATCAGGGGCGGTTCAGTGCCAAATGATGGACATGACCTACCCAGGAGTTGTTCCAATGCACAAGGTGACAATCATGCTACTGCTTTACTACTTTACTTTTCATTTCACCTTTTCTTTTATTTAATCATTTTGATCATCCAACTTTTTTATTATTTTTTTTCCCCTGGCTGTATTTTTGTAGGTAAATTTTGACGCCAAGACTGAATATGATTTTATCCAAAATTACAAGGTCCTGCAGGATGTATTCAATAAGTTGAAAATCGAAAAGGTAATTTCATCTTTTCCTATAATGCCGCTTTGTTTTGGTGTCAGCATATGCATTTGAACTTCATACTCTTAGGTTTAATGAAAATTTCAGGGAGGAACTAATAATTTTAAAAAGCCAATGTACTCTATTTTTTACATTGCACTACCTCATTCTCATTTTTTAGTTCTTAATCTCGTCATGTACTGCTACCATTGGGCCATTGGTTCATAATGGGATTGATTTAATAGGGTTGGCTCTTCCCTTCCTGTTCATGGACTCTCATTAAAATGTATTAGTAATTGTTTCTTTATAGTCTCTCAGCAAACATGATATAAATGACATGAACTCTGGAAGAGGAGTTTCTTTTTGCAGCTGTATGTACTGGCAACTTGGTTACTTGGAAACACAAAATTGATGAAGTGGAAAATCAAGTTAGAGGAGAATGCTTTATGGCAGAATACACTTGAAATCACTCTGTTCATGTTAATTCTCTCATGTATAGTGTTTAATAACTTAAATCTATACTACAAAATTGGCTTAACTCAATGGATACAAACTGTTGGTGTCTCTGTAATCAATAGTGTTATCAGTCTTGTATGAATTGCATTACAGATCAGGTGGTTTTCTATTCATTCTTACAGTGGACATTTGCACTGACTCTAATGTATGTCAGCATATTGAGGTCAACAAGCTTGTTAAAGGTCGACCTTTGGACAACTTGGAGTTCTTACAATGGATGAAACGCTATTGTGAATCTGTAAATGGCGGCATCATGAATGAGTATGTTATTGTCTCTTTCTTTTTCCTCTCCTACAGTATTTTTTGGACTCTTTGATAAAGTTATGTCAGCATTACCATATCTTTTTTTTTTTCTTTTTTTTTTTTTTCTTTTTTGCGTATTTCTGACTCTGTTGCATGGTTTGTTCTTGTAGGAACTACAATCCCGTGGAACGAAGAAGTAAAGGTGGGAAGGAGCGGATCTCTAGGGGTGGTTCACTGAAGATTTCAAAATCATTGCAGGCTAACAATATGCATAATGCTGGCTCCGGGGACACAGTTGGCCACAATAAAGCTTCTGGTTAACCTTGAATCACTTAATTTCTTATGTGCTTGTGCCTTGTAGTTTTATTTAAACAAATGTAGTAATTGTCATTGTAATTCAGTGCATACTGATATAGGGCCCAGGCATGGTAAGACATATGCTGCAGCTGGTAGAACTAATTCTTCGGAAGAGATTCAGGCTTTGTCCAAGGAGGTATTGGCATTAGGTTCTTGCTAGATTTCTCATTCTCTTGTTGAAATTCAAGTCTGCGTAATCCATGATTAGTTAGTCTACCTGCGAGTTCTTATGTTGGTTTCTGAAATTCTTTCTATTTTGTTATATATATACAGATTACAGATCTTAAGCTCTCTGTGGACCTTTTGGAGAAAGAAAGGGACTTTTACTTTGCAAAATTGCGGGATATAGAAATACTTTGTCAGACTCCTGAATTCGAGAATCTTCCTGTAAGAATTACTGGACTTGTTTTCGACTTTTGAAATCTATTATGATTATGGTTTTACATAATCTTTTCTTGGACTAAATTATTTCCCCTTTGCCTCCTTAGCTATGTCTCCACATTTCTAAGGAATTGAAGTTTGAAGTTCTCCAAATAACTGTTTGTTATAAGTTCTGTTGCTTGTAAATCATCTGGTAATTGATTAATGAGTCCTGCCCTTAACCTGCTTGGGTTACATTGAACATCAAGGGTGCAAAGTAAAACACATGGAATCTGTGTTTACATAGGCTATTGGATAATATTTTCTGCTTCAAACAAACATAAGATTACATGGTTGTTACATTTTAATATTGTCTTGGTGTTTTTTGTTTTTCTTAAGTTGTAAATCTAATTATACTTTAATATCGATGCAGATGTCTCTAGCAGTCAAGAAGATATTGTATGCTGCTGATGCAAAAGAGTCTGCACTAGCTGAAGCTCAGGAGTATTTGTCGCAGTGTCTGAATGGTGCTGATAATGAAGCAGAAGAAGAATGAGTTTTAACTAAAACAATAAGGGCCCTTGTGCTTGGAAGTTGAAACATGTACATGGCCTTGTTTAATGAGTGTAGGGCGTCCTTCAATCACAAGATGCAGGAGATGACTTTCACTATGCTCAGGGCTCCGAATGGCGAATACCATCCAATTGGAACTGTAGGATTTTTCATTTCTCTGTTTCCTTTTTGTGCTTGATAAATGATTGTGAATTAAATTAATGACTAATTTATTGGTGGTAAGTACTGGTGGTTTTATTTCTATATGTAAGCTGTGATTTCAATAGGCAAGGCTTTTGTTCTTTTACTGTCAATGTGACAAAAGGGGCATGATAGAACTTGGTTATCAAGCCGCTTCATATTCTTCATTCTTCACAAAAAATGACTGAATCTCGCTTTATATATCTGGAGCTGGATTTGGGTATATGGTAGTGTTGATTGGCCATAGCAATTGGTTTTCGGCTAACAGAGTTCATGTAATGAAATTTTAAAATCAATGTGTGGATACCAACTTTCAGTATTCTCATTAAGAATTAAATTATATGAAAAAAAAAAAAAAAAAAAACAAAAAACAAAACAAATTAATGGACCAAAGAACACAGCAGAACCACCTTTGGATGGTTGTTGGTTTGAAAGAGATTCTTGGGTATATACTCAAAAGATCACGAGTTTGAGTCCGTTTTTATTGCTAATAAGGGTAGTAACTGAAGTTCTTACCTGATCAATAGTTTCAGAATCTCAAGATATTAGTTGAAGTAATGTAAACTGGTTTAGATATTTCAATTATAATAAATTAAAAAGAAGTATATAAAATGGTTTAGCACCTTCGATTATAATAAATTAAAAAAAAAAAAAAAAAAAAAGAGCACTAAAGTCTCGCTTATTGTAAATGGGCTTCCTTCCTACAACTTAAAAAAATACAGCGGTACCTGGTCCACTAAAGTCTTCGCTTATGTAACTTCAGCAACTTGTACTATTAACGAAATATGGATTGGCGAACCCATTACTGTCTATAATGAAGACAAAAAGCCACCAAAATATATATATCTTGTCTCTAAATTTACGCTATTATTTGTTATATTTCTAGCAACTTGTACTATTAACGAAATTATGGATTGGCGAACCCATTACTGCTATAATGAAGACAATAACTAAAGCCACCAATAAATATATATATCTTGTTCTCTAAATTACGCTACTTATTGTTTTTTTATAAAATAAAATCTCGGCAGCAACCAAATAAAGCATGGCAAAAAAGGGAGTATGTATTTTCATTTTAATTTCTTTTAAGAGTTAAAGAATATAATATTTTGCAAACTTTATACACAAAAAATCCAAATGCCTAAACTTCGAAAAACAGTTCAGGTTCAGCTGCTGTGGAGTGGGCCTGAGCTTTTAAAAAAAAAAAAAAAAAAACAATGCCACCAAGTTTTGTCCCCACAAACTTTTACTGTTTCTCGGTCATGAATGATAGGAGCATAATTTAAAGGGAGCCAAAAACTGAACAAAATTGTAACAAACTATGGACTATTTGGTCAAAACCACCTCCTACTAAAGGTACAAACGCAAGAATTAATCTAGAAATCGAATATCTACATTAGTTGACATATCCTACCTGGGGTTGTCGAAACTAAAGTTTGGGATAAGTACTTTCAAGTTTCAACTACACCAGAGAAGCTGGAAAAACAAAAATTACTGTTTGTTGACAGGCTTGGCAAAAGAAGTTTCAGAACCAGCTTCTTTCCTTTCCGTATCACTGGGAAAGATAAATCTTCGCTGTATGTTATGGCTTGAATACCTCGGACTTTTTTCTCCTCTTGTTCTGGCTAAAATATAAAAAAGAAAGAGAAGAAGAAAAAATGTAAAAAGCACTGCAGAGGGAGATAATGGATAAGTATAGAGAGATAATATCTCTTGCTTTAATATAATTCACATAAAGAGTTCGATCTAACATATTCAGTGATCCTCACAAATATGGTTGTAATTGAAAATTCTATATGTTATAATGTTAGTGTCTCCAAACTTTTTTCCATATAGTAAGCTGTGGATCAAATAATACTATTTCAATACACATTTAATTTGATTTGAGCCATGAGCATTGATAGTGTGTTCTATCTCAATCTGGTACATAATTTTTACCAACAATACTATAGGGAATTTTCTTATGTTCACTTCAAAGAGAACTTCTGTTAAAAAATCATGTACACATTTCTATGGAAAAAATAGAGCTTAAGTTTATATTTAAAAGTTTCAAGATCAGATTTAGATTGCAGATTAAAAAATTCCAGTTCACGTATTTGCCAATACAAGCAACAGTAGCATTGAATAAAAGAAACAGAGTATCTTACCTAAACAAACTTGTTCAGGTAGTTGCTGCCTTAGACAAAAGAGAATACTTATGTACACACGTCGACATTACACCCACCTAATTTTTTTAGTTGTTTCTCCTCTGGTTTGACAAAATTGGAACTACTATATTGCCATTTGACTCATGTCAAGATTAGTTGAGTCAAAGGTCGGTTGTGCCAGCACTAATCAAATGGTTCTGATTAGAGGCTGGACTCAGAAGGATGGATGTGACTTACACGTTAACCTGCTTTTCTATCTGCAGTTGGCTGTTCAGCTGCACTTTCACCCATGTCCTTCAACTGCCAAAGAATCGGACCACAAATGAATATCAAATGCACTCCCGAGCACAATCCAAGAATCCACAATATGAAGCATATCAATGAAACTTAGAAAACTTTATTTTCCTAGAGTGGCCTGCAATGATATTTGCATCGTGTGAAGATGTTTGATAAGCACCTCTGCTCCAAAACTACTTCACTCTGCTACAGCCAAGGTGAATTCTTGGTTTAGGGCATAGTCAGACAGGGAAATAAAGCTTCCAAGATCGAGAAAATAATGTGCTGGTTACCAGGTAGCATTTGTATTGTGCACTTGCTTGCTTAGTAAAAAGAAGGATCTGTATTTAGCCACTATAGTATATGGGTATCAGGCCCCAAATGTATAAATAATTCTTAAGTTCTAAAAGCTACACAAAAATTAATTACAAAGAAGGCTGCTTTTTGCATTCAATATAAGGACAGAGTTTCCATTCAGCAAAAGTAGCTTGTTTGATGTAGATTCTCCAGAAACAAAATTAAGATGAAAATCAGTAGAGTGGAGTATATATGAGGGTAGTAGCACAGTGATCTGTTCTTTTCTTTTTAATTTTACATAGTTTGTTTGATTTTTGCTAGTACACATAGTTTCTGTTGTTATCTTCAGTTGAGAAAATTTTTAGTTCGTAATGACAATCTAAGATTGAAACAACAATAATCTCTCTCACCTGTGCAGTTAGAGATCTGATTACTTCCTGGGAAGCCTTGTTTTTTTCAGCTTCTTGCTGTGCAGTTGCAGATTTCTCTTTCAATTGTCTCGATGTCCTTTCAAGTTCTACTTTTAGGAGTCTGGATTGGTGAGTAAGATCCTCCACCTGCATGCCGAATTAATATTAGTTCTCAATTTCTTGCCATTTTGAAATGAAAAGGATAGTATTCTTTTACATGAATTTTGAGATATACATTGATAAGAGGTTTTTACTTTTAACTTTTAAGGGCCAATCATTGATGTTCTTTGATTAGCGAGGACTATGAAGTTAATGATATTAGTAGGATAGGCACTGAGGTGATCTATATATATAGTTTCACATCAATGGTGAGAGTTGGAAAGTGAAACTATATACCCACTGCTCATAGTATACATATTTATTCTACAAATATGGAAGAATGGGATAGTATTTCTGCTACTGTTCATGCCAACGAATAAAAAAATTCTTCTAATTACTGTTCAGGGATGAGACTATAAAATAATGGATGATTTTGAAGAACAAAAGAATGCATGAGAATAAAAAGAACAGATGCCTCCACTAATGCGGTTATACGTGTATTTACCTGTGCCCTTAATATGACTGTTTCTTGGTTGGGGCAGTCATTTGTTTGTTTTGACTCATCAAAAGTAATTTCTGGTTTTGCAAGATCAAAAATAGCTGAATTCATAGTCATGGAGCGAAAAGGACCTGACTTCCATGAGATAGGAGACGGTGGTCGAGAAACCATTCTTGAACCTGGAAGACAAGTAGATATTTTGTTAGAATGCCTAAATGCAGAGGCTGATTCCCATTGGAAAGTTCCATTTATAGACGGCGAGCCATGACAACTGTGGCTATTGAGTTTGGATTGTCCACCCTTAGCCTCTTTGAATGAATCAAAAGAAGTAAGCCTCAAAAGTGGACCAACAGATCTAGAACTCATATTTTCTTTATCAGATGCCCCACTCCAGTTCTGATTTATACTTCCATTTGAACAATTAGGAGACTGTGAAATTGATCTGCACTCTAATGAAATTGATCTAGACTCTGAGGCTCTATTCAATTTAGAAAAACAATCATCACACACGCGATAAGGTTTGTTTATGTCCGGAGCTAAAGCAGCTTTTAGAGATCTCTTACTGCTGCATACTTTACAAAAAGCTAGCCCACAGTTGTAGCAGTTATGCCGCTTTCTTCTGAAATTAAATGAATTTTGACAACCAGAACATATACAGTAATCAGCATTGGACACTGATTTATGAAGACAAATGGCAGCAGTTAAATTGGAACCACAAACAACAGTCTTAACTTGTTTGTTTCTCAAAGCTTCAACAATTTTAGGACTGTTTCTGTTTTCATTGTCTCCATGGCCTAACTGACCATTTGCTCCCTTACCCCAAGTGTAGACCTCTGCTTTTGAACTTAGAACAGCAATATGATAAGAACCACATGCTATGTCTTCAATGTGAGTGTTTCTGATGTTGCCTTCAATGCGAGTGGGAATCTTGCCAGTGCTTCCTGGACTCCCGAGTTGTCCATAATTAGCACTTCCCATGGAATATATTTGTCCTGAGTCAGTTAACGCAATGGTGATGCTGTGACCACAGGCTACTTTACAAAAGTTTGTGTCTTCTGACACTGCTACCCTGTCTGGAACTAGTCGAGGTTCTTCATCACCATGTCCAAGTTGGCCATCAGCCCCATCCCCCCAGGTGAAGAGCTTTCTAGATGAAGGTCCACTGAAACTAGAAGACCCAGAAGTAACTCCAACAATCGCAGCAGTGTGCCAAACACCACAAGAAGCCATCTCCGTTCTTTGTTCTCTCAGAGTTTCAACTTCTCTTGGCACACTAGTGCTACTACGATCTCCATGGCCCAAGGCTCCAAAAGTTCCATCACCAAATGTAAACAACTTACCTGCTGATGTAACGGCAGCCGTATGCCAAGGTCCACAAGAGATAGATGATACTTGCACACCCTCCATTTGGCCACTTACTTTTTTAGGGGTCCAGCAACTGACTTCACTAACATGCCCAAGAAGACCAAGATTGTGAGTACCATCACCCCAAGTATAAAGATCGCCTGAAATTGTTGCAGCACAAGTGTGAAATTCCCCACATGCCACTAAATGAATGTTTGATCCATTGAGAGCATCAATGAGCTTTGGGTAAGAAACATCAGTTTCCACTCCATGTCCAAGCCTGCCACCAGATCCCTCACCCCAACTAAAAATCTGCCCCTGTTTGGTGACTAAGACAGCATGCTTACTCCCACAAGCAACATTCTGGGCATCAAGGACCACATTTGATTCAAGTACCTTTGGCCAAAGTGCATCACGCTTGGCAGGAGAAGAAATTCCAATCTCATGCAAACCACCACCCAAAAGCCCACCACAGACTCCTTCTCCCCAGAAGAAAACATCAACCAAAGCTTCAAAATCTGCATAAGAACATCCCTGGCTGGATGAACTCACAGCACTAGATAAACTAGCTCTATATGAATCAACTGTGAAGCTACGACTACTTGTCTCATCTAAACCAGCAAACGATACAAAACTGAGAGACTTGGAAAATGACTCAGCTTGACTGTAAGCCTTGGCTGCTGCTGTATATGATAAAACCTCAGAAAAGGATTTCCCCAATCTATGCCACGTAGAATTCTTGTAAGGAACCACCATTGGTTCATCGTATCCAGAATCCAGGAATAAGTAAAACAATTAGAAAAAATTAACTTGAAAGAAGAAGTGAATTAAATAACTTTCATGAAGATCGTGCAAAAAACCTTAAAGATTATATCGGTGCTGGTAGATGACACACTACAGAGAGAATTCTTTTGAGTATGGCAAAATGGGCTATCTGATGATATGCTATCAATTGTTGCTTCACTTTTTGATTTGCGATAGTTGCCCGGTGAAATTAAGGCTCTAAGAGCAGTAAACCACAGCTCAGCTTCATCTTTGTCCTTGCATATCTGACAAAGGGCCCAATCATTAGAGGTAGGTATAATATATTAAAGATCAGATTATTGCATGTGGCACGTTTAATGATTAGAATTAAACCAAGTCATTGGTGAACATATTTGAAAAATAACAAGAAAAAAGAGTAAGGTCAAATCACTGAAACTCAAAAGAATTTAAAATAAAAACTAAAAATAAAATAAAGAGTTCCAATATTTTTATCACCTGCTTCTGCTACATTCTACTTTAGGATGTTTTAAGCAATACCCTAAATTCACACAGGGAAGAAATACAGAAGTGAGAAACTGGTGTTAACGACTTCACACAAACACTGACTCTTGCTTTCAATGGGTTTGGTGGAAAGGCAGTTTAGAAACATAATACAAAATGGAAAACTGTTGTCTCCGTATTTAGTTAAATACTGACTCTGCTTCAACACAGATCAAAGAAACTAAAAAGAAAAACAGAAATTATCAGAAGCAGGATAAAGTAAAGCATTCTTATTTCAAATCAAAATTCAAAATTCAAAAGAAGTCCTGGGATTTGTTATGTCTTGACAGGGATTAATACATCACTAATTATGGATGTATGAAACCCAAAACAAAATTGATTGCACAAACACTGATGTACAACTTAGTAACTTACAATTATTTTGTCTTTCGAAAAAAAAAAAAAAAAAAACAGAATGAATAGTTTACAAGAATATAATTTAAGGCCATAAGCAAGAGAAGAAAAAATATCTACCAAATCCAAGGACCTGTTACTGTATATAAGAGAAAATGATTGATATTCCTTCTCAGGCTGAGGGTAGCGCTGAAATATTGCCTGCAAAATCATACATAACCTTTATTAATTGTATCAAGCTTAAGAATTATAAAAGGCTGGAGTTTCTGAGGAGGATATGTGGGCATCTAATATTGGATTTGTAGTTTCCAGCAATCAACAAATCTACATGAGTCAAAAAGTTAAGAGTGATAATGTCATGATAGGTGATTTGGGAAAAGAAAAAATGGGTCTTTTGTCTAGGTTCAATTAGAAAGTTTCTGATCGAGCTTGATGGAAGCAAAAAATGACTGTCTTTTGAAGAAACAAATAAGTGGAGTAACTATACGTCTCAAAACTGAAAATCAAATCATTTACTACGTGAACTGAAGGACAGTGCAAACTTACTGTGCGCTGTCCAGGAATAATCCTTGAAACAAGGCTTAATTTAAGTTGTTTTTCATCTTTGCCTGCATACCAGATCAACAATGTCTCATCCTGAAACAACAACATAAGAATTTCAATAAATGGAATTCAACTCACAATACATAATTAACTTGATCTTTGGTATAAGCTTCATACATTTGTGTGCAACTGTTTTCATCCTTTTAAGGACTTGAATATAATAAATAAGCCGACAGAAATAAAAAATACATCTAAAATTATAGTCGCATCAAGCAGTGATTTCCTTTCCCACACTCCCCTATACCATATCACCAGAACCAATAATATTTTCATCAGTTTACCAGGAATATTACGAGGCAGCTATTTCACCAAAGTTTATCATAAAAATGCACTCTATAAATCATAAAATGCACTCTATAACGTGTTAGATGATGAGCTAGATTCTTCTCTGGAAAATCAATTTTAGATCCTTTGTATATAGGCTCATATATTTCACCAACTTAATTATCGTTTCAGTTCCTACCTTAGAGCTAATCTCTGAATGTGATTTTACATCTCAAGCATGTATATCATTTCCCATATCTGAAATGCGAGTTTCCCATAAATCTGTATTAGTCTGACTAGATCTGTTAGGAACTATAGTAAAGTAAGTTTGTTCAAAAGATAACTAGACTCCAGTTGATCATCGATGGTTGAATTTATCCCTTGCAACTACATAAGAAGCTACCTTGTAATTCAGTATCATCTTTCCATTGANTATAATTTAAGGCCATAAGCAAGAGAAGAAAAAATATCTACCAAATCCAAGGACCTGTTACTGTATATAAGAGAAAATGATTGATATTCCTTCTCAGGCTGAGGGTAGCGCTGAAATATTGCCTGCAAAATCATACATAACCTTTATTAATTGTATCAAGCTTAAGAATTATAAAAGGCTGGAGTTTCTGAGGAGGATATGTGGGCATCTAATATTGGATTTGTAGTTTCCAGCAATCAACAAATCTACATGAGTCAAAAAGTTAAGAGTGATAATGTCATGATAGGTGATTTGGGAAAAGAAAAAATGGGTCTTTTGTCTAGGTTCAATTAGAAAGTTTCTGATCGAGCTTGATGTAAACAACAAATGACTGTCTTTTGAAGAAACAAATAAGTGGAGTAACTGCACATCTCAAAACTGGAAATCAAATCATTTACTACGTGAACTGAAGGACAGTGCAAACTTACTGTGCGCTGTCCAGGAATAATCCTTGAAACAAGGCTTAATTTAAGTTGTTTTTCATCTTTGCCTGCATACCAGATCAACAATGTCTCATCCTGAAACAAAAACATAAGAATCTCAATAAATGGAATTCAACTCACAATACATAATTAACTTGATCTTTGGTATAAGCTTCATACATTTGTGTGCAACTGTTTTCATCCTTTTAAGGACTTGAATATAATAAATAAGCCGACAGAAATAAAAAATACATCTAAAATTATAGTCGCATCAAGCAGTGATTTCCTTTCCCACACTCCCCTATACCGTATCACCAGAACCAATAATATTTTCATCAGTTTACCAGGAATATTACGAGGCAGCTATTTCACCAAAGTTTATCATAAAAATGCACTCTATAAATCATAAAATGCACTCTATAACGTGTTAGATGATGAGCTAGATTCTTCTCTGGAAAATCAATTTTAGATCCTTTGTATATAGGCTCATATATTTCACCAACTTAATTATCGTTTCAGTTCCTACCTTAGAGCTAATCTCTGAATGTGATTTTACATCTCAAGCATGTATATCATTTCCCATATCTGAAATGCGAGTTTCCCATAAATCTGTATTAGTCTGACTAGATCTGTTAGGAACTATAGTAAAGTAAGTTTGTTCAAAAGATAACTAGACTCCAGTTGATCATCGATGGTTGAATTTATCCCTTGCAACTACATAAGAAGCTACCTTGTAATTCAGTATCATCTTTCCATTGACATCAGGATTCTAAATGGCACAGGATGCAATTTGACAGCTGGTTAGCTTTTACCCAACTTAAAATTAACATTTTGGTTTTAGACCAGTGCTTTTATTATGACAACTTACTCTACTACATTACCATTCAATCACTCAACTGTCTGTTGTCAATCTTTGCAATTAGATGTAGATGGAAAAAGCTTTCCATTAGACAAAGTTCTTTTGCCAAGTCATTGAAGTCACTAGTATTTTCAAATACCTGAGTTGTGGCATGTTTCAAATTAGTTCTTAATAGTGATACCACTAAAAAATATAACATTATAAATCTAGTAATCTACTTGATCAATGGCCAATGAATTAAGACTAAAAGATATTTTATGACCGTTAAATTTCAAATGAAACAAGATATGAACAATTCAATGAGAGGAGTAACACAATGAGGCTATAAAATAGAGGTAGTTTAGAATTCAAAAATGCATTGACACATACTGTAGAAAGCTTGAATGGACAAAATTTGGGTTTTCCCCAGCGTCCGTACTTCAGCAGATATGTCCCTTTCTTTAGGACTCTAATGGCCTGTAAATATGAAAATTATGAGTATTATTTTAGATAAGCAAAACGAGAAAAATTTTCCCTGAAGTGAACAAAGTGAAAATTTGATGGTTGTTGCATTAGTAGGCAGAGCGGGAACTGATTGGACTATTCAGTTGAGGCAAAACCATGAGTTACTGATACAACTAGGTAGCACATATCAAAAAGGAAATTGCTATCATGGATTTCAAGGAATTTATCTGAAAATTCAAACTGAGTACATTACGCTGAATAAATTCTATAGTTATATGCAGAGTAGCAGTATATCTTTGGCATTTTAATGCTTAAACCATATATCATTCAACATCAAATGTTGGGAAGACAGAAGTTAAAAAAAATTGAACCAGCAAAATGTGATATCCAATTAATGGTCCTTAAATTTTGTTCGAGTTGTAATATACTAATAAATGAGATTATAAAAAACAAACAGTAAAGAAAATATACTACCTGATCAACGTCCCTATCAATAAGAATATTCTGCTGGAAATTAGCCATTCAGGTCGCAATATCATGTCCAGCCCTTGCAAAGAACAATGACAAGAAAATGCCCAAATTCTCCCCATATAAGATCGCTCTGCAATTCCACAATCACAACTTGGAATATCAAATTCATCTATTCCATCACCAAAACCCCTTTAACAAAGTCATTCCTGAGGAACATCGCCTCAAACTCAATTTGAAAACTCCAATCTTAAAGTTCTTCTTTCTCATCCCCAATTATCCCATCAACAATTAGATATTACTAACACTTTTAACTAGATTTATCCAGACTTAAAACAAACAAACAGCAAAATGTAATCGTTTGATATCTTATTGTTTTGTTTCGTTTTTCATCCATGTTCGGTAACAGAGAGACCTTAGAAAACCAGGAAAGTGCCCTTTGAAGCCAGACTGCCAGAGATTGGAGAAACAAAACAATGTTCATTATTTTTTACCCGTATTAATAGGTCGGCAAACAGATGGGCATTTTCGGAGCATATGGATTGGATTTCGCTTCAAAAATCAAATGTATGATGGGACTTATGATAGTAGTCTGATCAATTCCAGGATTTCTCAACACTAACGCGGCCTTCTGTTTTAAGTTTTTTCTTTTCTTTTCTTGAATTACATATTCCCACCCTAAGTTTGTCGAAACAACAATCTTATCCTTCCGTTTGAGAAACCGTCAACGTTCCATGCAGCCACCGTTAGTCAGCGTTTATCTAAATTGGTATAATAAATGCATTTCTAAAATAATAACTAATCATCTTTAATCACAACTTAATAAGCGAATAAATTCCAAATCAATAAAAAATTTAATTACAAACTAATAAAAATATCGATTAAAACTTGTGTTAAATCTTTTTTTTTTTTTTTGGGTAATTAAATTTCACAAGTTAAAAGGTTCACGCGTTGCACGAGTTGCTTATAAAAATAGTTTTGACATAAAAAAAATAATTAATTAATTAATTAAAGAATGAAATAATAACATAATATTTTAGTGATATGAATATATTCTCTTTTTAAAGTAAAAGAAGAGGAGTTGGAGCACTTTTCTCACGAAAATACCAATGTTGTTGACTAAAAGTCTACAACACAAACTTGCAAAAAACTCTTCCCACACTTTCCAAATGCTTGCCCCATAAGACCACCATAAGAAACTGATTTCCCTGCCCTACTGAACCTAAGCAACAACTTGATTGAAGCCTCGGTCAATACGGCCATAAAGATGATCAAAGCAATACCAAGACCAAGATCAAGCACTTTCATGGTTGCAGGCAAGGCCATGATTCCAGCTCCAACAATGGTAATTGATAAATTAAACATTGCCCCAGTAAAGGAAGCTCCATTAAATTCATCAAAACCACCACTCGGTATTATAACAAATCACGTTCATTTTAGGCTTATACTGGATAGATTCTAGTAGTTGTATCTCCAGATTCTCCACCCATTTAAGTAACACATAAAACAAACTCTTTGTTCTTGACCTTCTTTCTTTATCTTGTCCTTTCTGAAAATAATAATAATAAATTGGAAATTCCTGGCCAAGTCTTCTCATATTGCATTGCACCACGAAATCGTTTAACTCTTTATAGTAAAATTACCAATAAATGTTAAAAATTCCACATATAATATGTGGAAATCTCAAAGCAATCATCATTTTGTTCCACTATTTACCAAAAAATTTAAGCTATATATCTATAACTTAACTGTCCAAAAACAAATGAACAACTTTAGCACAGAAAACATGTGTAAATCAATCTAACTTCTACAATTCAATCTTATTATCTCGATCTATCATTTTCTCTTCTTTCATCAAGAAGAGAAGCCCCGGAATTTGAGTACTTGAGTTTAGTTTGGTGAACATGGTACTTGGGTGAAATAACCACCAATATTATAATACCACTGAGCAAGGCTAACCCCAGTCCTGAATCGTTAACAACCATGGATTTTGGACACCGTTTAGATACACTTCTCTTGCTTTGTAAAAATGCCAGTTTCTCTAAAAGACATGTTTCTGCAGTTGCCAGTTCCCACGGCCAACCCATATGTATAAAGACCAAGAAAAATGTGTCATGACAATACACTAATTCTTGATGCACTCACCTCCCCTCGATGCCAAAACCTCAAGAAGCCCACTATTCACTGCAATTTCAATCAAAGTAACTGCAACATTATTATAGTATTCTCTCCAGTGTTATGTAATACCAAAACTAATCTTAATATCTGTATACACAAAATTTGTTGTACAATAAAACTTTGTTTGCTGCTTCTGGATTTCTTCTCTTTCAGTAAGTTATTTGCAATTGTCATTTTCAACAACCAAATTTCACAAAATCTCAGACTTCAATTATTCAGTACACTCCAACAATATGTATGCACACCAAACACATAATTAGCTTCCGATTATCTAGTAACTTTAAAGATCAAATTTAAGTTAGATGTGATTTTAACACTCCCAACCTGTGATATTTGCAAGACTTGGAACTGAATTTGATGAGTCTATGGACTAAAAATCAGGCATTTCTAGCTCAAATTAATATAATTTTGAAATTGAAAACCCTAGAAGGTGAAAATTTGAGAAAGCTAGTTCTCTATACCTATAAAAACAATAGATCTCTTCTTTGCAATCACCAATTGAACAATAAATAAATGAAATAGAACAATTAAGATTGAAACTAACAGAAGTCATAGAGAAAGATGATATCCAGATATAATAAAGTCACAATTTTTCAATTTAAGAAACAACACAAAAGCATAGTACAGTTTAGTCACTTGGGTGGTTTCAGGATTCATGGTAAAGATTGCTTCTTGCAAATTACCAAGAAAGGAATCCATGACTAGAGCACCTGATACCATTATAACACCAATCATACTAAAATTTGGTGAAGTTTGTGCACCTATTAAGGTAAAAAGGATCAACCCCACAACTAAAAGTATTGCAGATACATATTCATGAACTGGGTACTTTCGTTTAAGGCCCGATATGAATGCGCCCATGATCATTATAGGCAAAACCTGAGATGACAAAATAAATTTCCAATTATAGCCAAATTGATCCCATTTACTTGATTCACATAGAAAGAGTCAATGAGCTAATTTGAGTCATTTACACCATTACAGATTAAGAGAGCCAATTTGACTATCAAACATAAACTGATTTTTCAACATGAAATTAAAAAAAGTAACGGAGTTGAATATTTACCTTTGTGGATTTGAACATGAGTTGTGCTGGATAGTTAAGAAAAGCCAAAGACCCTTTGGTAAGTCCATGAGAACCCATTAAAACTGCAGAGAGCTTCACACAAGTCTTCCATGGATTCACCATCTATTTAGTGGTGAAACCTTGAAGATAAATGAGAACAATACAGATAAATCTTTGAACAAATGTGAAGTAACAACCGTAACTGGGAAAATAAAAGGTATCCATTGATCAAATTTACAAACTAATCCTTGAAATTCCAGATCACAAATTGACAAATACTTAAAGAAAATCATTAAAATGTTACCAAATACAACAGCACTTATATGCAAATTATACTTGAATTAGAGCCTGTTGTATACATATTCTTGCAAATTACATAATAATCAGTTTACAATCATGCAGAAAAATAATTAATTATTGAAAAAGTTAATTCTCAACTCTGTTTGGCGGCTGAGAAACTTGAGAAAAAAAAATATGTATTTTCAGTACATATCTTTTCCCTAAGATGTATTCCTCAAATTTCTTTGCAAGAAAAACATATTTCACAAAACTAAAAACGCATATCTTTCAACCGCTGTATCGACATTACTTAAAAACGGAATGAAAAATAACATAAAACTCCAAGTTCCATTTTTCTTTCCTTGGTAGTCAATTTTCTCTAAGATCAAACAAAATCTAATAAAACTAAAAATGAATTATCCACTTACAGCTTCATCAGTTTCTCCAGGGAATGTAATCTTCTGTCTATTTTGCATACCCTTCTCAACTACTAATTCCAACACCTTCTTCTCTTGAACAACCTTCTCATCTTTACACATTGTGCAGCGATCCTTGTCGCTAATAGTTTCTCCAGCCCAATTGATCCATCCTTCTTCACTAACCTCTTCCTAGGTTCCAGTACCTTCAAATAAAGCAATCACACATAAATTAACAAATCATAAAGACAATGTCTGGTTGAATAAAGCTACTAGCTTTACATTATAACTGACACAATAAGGGTACCAAGTCCCCACCAGTGGCCTCAAAAGTGATAAATCTATGCCTTTACCAAAATTAAAGACAACCATCAATTACCAAATATGAAATCAATAGCAAAAACTAGAGATAAACCTATCAGGACCATACAAATCATTATACAAAAAAAACTAAACACAACCATAAAAAAGAAACAACTTCTTGGCATGATTCTCAGCACAAATTAAAAAATGAAAACCCTAAGAGAAAATTGATCAACAAAACCAATCCAGAAACCAAAATTGGAAAAAGATTAAAACTTTCTATCGAATTAAAACGGGCCTGGTGGCTGCTGTGAATTGGAATCCATGGGCGATTGAATGAATTATTGAGGTATGTGATATCTCTGGCCTTGCCTCACGCCCACCTATGAAACCTGATATGCTCAGAGAACTCTGAAGAAAAAAAATTATCATAATAATCATCATAATTATCACAAAACAACGATTGAATCAATTTCCACAAAAAACCCATGAAGCAAAGATCAATGCAGAAACAAATCAGGAAGCAAGTAGGTACCTCCTTTACAATGGCGGTGGCTGCGTTTTAAAAGGCATCGAGAAGTGGCTGAGACTGAAGCAAGAGACCTTCACATCTCTTCTTCAACAAATTATCTTCTCTTAATTTCTTTCTGATCTCCATCAAATTGTCCTCTCTCCGCCGACGAGCCTCCTCCGCATCGACGCCGCTCTTGTACCCCTTCTTTCTCACCTTCGTTTGAGTGCTAGGCCTCAACAACATGTCTTTGTTTGGGAAGGACTGCAAATGACAGAGAAAGCAGCAATCACACATAAAAACCAAGAAAAATAATTAAAAAAAGCAAAGAGAAATTGAGAAAACTTAAGTCTCCCTGATTCATTTAAGATGTGGAGAAGCAAAACCAATGACGACTCTTTTTAGCCTATTTGGAGCGTTTGTATTTGAATATGAATGTTAAGCGTCTGTGTTTATGCGAAATTAATGTGAATGTGAAGAGTCGGTGTTTATATAAAGAGAATAACTCTAAATCTTTATATCTTTTCACGTAGGCCTTTGGAATGCCAATTCTGGTGAATGTGAAGGGACTAATAAATTTGAAACGTTTATATGTGAACGTGAATGCGAATAGTATGTGTTTATGTGAAAATTAATCTAAATTTTAATGGCAGAACAACTTACACCCACCCAAAGTTTGTCGGAAAGACAGTTTGGTACCCCAAAGGTTTAGAAATGACAAACAGCTACTTTCCGTTTAGATCTGTTAGTGAATTTCATCTACATTAACAGAAAAGTCTAAAACGCTCTTATTATTTTCTTCTTTCTCCTTCTATTTTCTTCGTCCCTTTCCTTCTACACATCTCCTCCAAGATTTCAGCTTTTCCCAAATTATCATGGAAGAAAGTATAACTATTTGGCTGCATGTAAATGTGTAACTCACCTTTAAGCTTTAAGTGTTTAAGCTTCAGACCTCTTTCATATGAAATTTCGTTGGTGTCTTTTGACGTACTTGCATCTCAAAAACAAGATTAGATTATTTTTAGAATGTACTGCAGATGAAGTACATGACATATGTTGATGTGTGATTTTGACACCAACTAAATGCACGTGTGAAATGCTGAGCTGACCTAGAAGACACACGTGAATGGGGGATGAAGAATGTAAATAGTGGTAAGACAATGTTTAAAGTGGTTCGGATGCTTAAACAAACAAATCATATGTCCACTGATATTGTATTTATATTTGAAGGATCAGGTCGCGGCTTATCGAGCTGACTTTGGAGTATTGAGAATACAAATGAGAGAGAGAGAGTGAGCTATTACAGAGAAGATAGCTAATCAAGAGTAAAAATGAGCGAATCCCCCAAACGGGAGAAAAGCTCTCTATTTATAGTGGGATACATTGAGGTAATAATTACTGAATCCGTAAAAAGGGGCCAAGTACCGTGCAAATCCTTCTTTGCATCCCGTTATTCACCTACTCGCGTGATTTCCTCGTTTCATGCAAGGATTGGACACGTGGATGGCCTCCAGCCTCTCAACAGTCTGGCGCGCACCCACTGCACTGGCAGGAGCATGCTGCTCACACCAGCATGCGACGTAGCCGCGCCTAAATGGCTGTAGGATCTGCCTAGACTCTGACCACTTGCGCTGACTGGGCTCTGCGTCAGCCCTACTTTTCCAAGCATAACAGCATGTTATTAAATTGGCACATCAGGATAGCATGCAAAAGCCTGAGTCTAAACTTAAACTAACAATAGCACAACATTGTTTTACGTTTAGAAAAGCTTTACTCCAACAACGATCATCCAATCTAAACCCCACCACTATTTATGCTTTGCCTTCATTCTTTAATATAATTACTACCGTAAAAACAAATATAATTCGATTGTGTCAGTGGCAGTGAGTAATGGAGTTGATAATGGGTTTAGAAATTAATCTTAACTTTATTCTCCAAGCCTTTTCATGCCACCATTAATCTCCTGCTTCGACCTTGACCCCAAATTAATAAAAGTGGCAATTGAAGTGGAGATTTTCTAATAATTTTGTAGGCGTTGATATTGATTAAATATGTAGTGGGAAAGTTTGGTGTGGAGTTCAGGAGGGAAATGCACAGACATTCAGCAGCGATTCGTCGGTTGTTTCATTACAAGGGGCAGTTGGATCCATTGAAGGGGGATGCCCTGAATAAGGTTGTGTGTGACACCACTCATGAAACTATATCAGATGTATTCTCCGAAGAAGGCAGGAGGGGAATTGGGACATGGTTTTGGACCGGGAAGTAAGGTTTTCAAGAACTATAGTAATTTGCTTGACAAATTGATGAAGACAAGCATGGTTGGGTGTTTAATGCTCCTGTTGATGTTAAGGTTCTTGGTTTGACTGATTACTTTGCCATTATCAAGCATCCAATAGATCTGGGAACTGTAAAATCAAGACTGAACAAAAATTGGTACAAGTCGCAATGGGGAAAGGGGAGTTTGATGGAGATGAAAAGCTGAAATCTTGGAGAAGGAGATGTATATAAAGCGGTGGAGAAGAAAATGGGAGAAGAAAAGAAGAGAAGAAATAAAATAATAAGGGCATTTTAGTCTTTTTTGTTACTATGGACGGAATTCACCCACAGATCTGAACGGAAAGTGGTTATTTGTCATTTCCAAAGTTTTTGGGTACCAAACTATCCTTACGGAAAACTTTGGGTGGGTGTAAGTCATTCTGCCAATTTTAATTAGACATCCAATGTCACAATTACATGATGTTATATGTCCAACAATATTTCACCATGTCGAAATAAAGGATGTGAATGTGAATGCTCTGTATTTATGTGAAAATTAATCAAGATTTAATTAGACCTTTGGATGCCCCAAGTGCATGATGTCACATGTCCAACAATATTCCATCAAATCCAACACATCAATCTATTCCGCATCATGACCAATAACATCCAGCCAAATGTTAAAAATCCAATTCAGCCCCAATCAAATGCAGCCACCTGTACTACAATCTTCCTACATGGCAAAATGAAGGAATTCTACCTCCTCAAAATGGCAATCATATAACTTATGCCTTAGGATTATATATATATATATACAGGGGCGGATCCAGCCCACTCATGGCCTACACTCAATTTTTTAAAAAAAAAAATTAATATATATAATTTTTGGATTTTGGCCCACCCAAACAAAAATATTAATATGTAATTAGTTTTTATTTTGGCCCACCCTAAAAAAAATTTATGGATCCGCTACTGTATATATATATTGATTAGAAGAAAAGAAAGAATATACAAAAGCCATAAAAACTCGGCCAACCTACCTCATGACAAGCGCTGGGTTAAGTGTAAAAGAATCAAGTAATCTAAAAGACTACCATCAAAAGGCTAACTAGGCAAGAGCCTATACAAAATCAAAAGATCACTATTCTCTTGTTATGCAATCTTAATACCAAGAATGTGAACAAGAGGCGCACAAATGAACAAGCCCACACAAAGCAACTAAATGATACTTTTATAAGTCTTAAAACACTTGTAAACATGAGTGGACAAGGAATTGCAAGTCCTAACACACTTGCTAATTAAAGAAATTTACTCCAAGTCCTAAAACATTTGGTTTGTAGAATGTGCGGAGTTGTGAAGACCAATCGGCCCAAGCAAGTTCAAAGAAAGAGAAGAGTCCAAACATTTCGGCCCAAGTCACTCCAAGTTCAAACACAACAAGGAAAGCTCAAGTCCACAAAAAAAGAAGCCCAAATGTTCAAAATGTCAAATTCGACTCAATTTGCATTACAAAGGGGAAAGTCCACATGATCTCTTATTAGATCCATTTGCATGATTATAAAAGCCTAAATTTTTTATACCCTTATTAGTAGACTTAATTAGGACCATTGATTAGTTTTTTATCTAATGGAAGCAAGCTTAGACAACTAATGGGGTGATTAAAGACATAGATCCTAAAATTAGGGAATTGTGTCTCTTTTACATTATATAGGCATTACCTTATTTTTTGAATAAATTACTCGTAATATTTAGCTAATTTTATTTCATTTTCTTGTATTTATAATTTACTTGTTTATCATTGTATTTGCCTATATAAGGGTGACTATTCCATTGTATCACTTAGTCTTGAAATATATGAAAATTGGTTTATCCATTTGAGAGAACTTTTGTGTTCTTTGATTATGCATTCTTTATCCAAGTCTTGGCAAGAGGATTTGATGGTGAATCAATTCAAGTTGATAGAGCAATCCTTTATACTTGAAGTGTTTCTACTTGTCTTAGTCCGAAATTGCAAGTAAGTACGAGATTGTTCTTGTTTTGTGTTTGACCAAATTTTAACTTGGATTTATGGTATGTTGTGTTGTTGAATTGGTTGGATTTGGATCACTAAAACCAACGAAAAAGATCAAAAACAAAGAAACGGCTCCTCCCCACAAGACAAGCCCTTGGGTGAGGACCAAAAAACAGAACAAAGACAACAACTCAGCATTTCCAACTTTAATAGCAAGCGGACCAAAACAACATCACTGAGGGCATTAATCAATTTGTTAAATCTTCAATAGAACATAATTTTATAGTAAAACCTTCTATCTAAAATAAGACACTCATAAAATTCATGCATTCATATGTTATTCCAGTGAACTCCAGCATTCTTTTGGGAGAATGATGACCCTTTCAACTGAGACTTTCAATGTGGTTTTGGTGTCATCTTAGATACTCGGGTTTAGTCGATCTGATAAATAACATATATTAGGTCCTTTTTTTTTTTTTTTTTCTTTTTTTCTTTTTTTAAGTATAATCATGATCAGAGGTCTGTCAGTGAAGCTGGAAATATGTAAAAAGACCTATTTGTAATTGATACTGTATTCTAGTTTGCTGCTGTGTTGCAAGTTATTAAGCTTAAAGATGGAGAAAAATATCTCCCAATCACCAGATCATGCATCCAAAATTAGGGGTGGAAAAAAAAAAACCGAAAACCGAACCAAAACTGGTCCGAAAATTTGGTTTTTTCCTATTTCAATTCGGTTTGCCATATTTTGTAAATCGAATATTCGGTTCGATTTCGGTTTTTTGAAATAACAAAAACGGTTAACCAAATCGGATTTTTAACCGGTTTAATGAATAAAAAAATAATTTTATATTTTTCAATTTTTAAAAAACTTATCCCTAGGTTTTCATGTAATTTTAAATTATTAATACTTGATGTACATTAAAATTATATGAATTCAAATTATTCAATTACAATAAATAAAACTTTAATTCAAGTTAAAAAAAACCTGGAAAAAAAAATGGGCCAAAGTGGAGGGTTTGACCAAATTGGGCCGAACAAATGCAGCTCATCATAATTAACTAGTTTAAAACCAGTTAACCGAACCCAAATTTCAGTTCGGTTTTAAACCGGTTTATAACCAAAACCGGACCGGTTTCAGTTCAATTTTTTTTTTTTCAAACCGATTCGGTTCAAGATACCGGTTAACAGGTTTTTTCCACCCCTATCCAAAATACATCAGTAGCTCTATTTCATTCATTAAGCCACACATAATAGCCGGCTTTGTACTTGCATTTGTAGTTGAAAAGTCGACATTATAATGCAAACTGAGCATCTACCATATTAAAGTTTTGTAAACTGGAACACAAACCATAATAATTACGTGATTTTATGTTATAGCATTCAGTACCAATACAGAAACCAAAAACTGCATATGAAAACAGGAAATAAAGTAACAACTATCAACAGCAAAACATGATTTCGGTAACACTGTAAACACATTTTCCCCTTTTTTCCTCAGCAAGTACCTAGGTTACAGTTGACAAAAAGAAATCTATGAAGCTCAATCCCTACTGTCCTATGCGAAGACTGGGGTCTTGTTTGAATACTTGGACTTGTCAGCCTGAATAACAAGAAAAAACGTCAATCAAGTGCTTAGAAACATTATTTTCAATCTGCATCCATTGCAAGTATTAATTTGCTATATAATACAACACACCACCCATTTTGCAAATGCTTACAAATTGGGTCAGGATTATTTTCACAATTCACAAATTGATTTTTCATAACTCATAAGCGAAGTGAACAATTCGGCATATAAAAAACAATTATGGCAGATAGCATACCCTGTGAATGAGCTTCTCAAATGCACCTGTCCCATTCTCTTGAATGTATTGCTCTGCAGCAGTAAGAATATCATCTGGCTGACTGAAAACGTCTTTCTTCCTTGGGAGATACCAAATGTTAATAGTCTGAGGGTTGACAAAGAAAGGTCTCACATAATGCTCATAAACATATGCAGCACCACTGAAGTATGGAATGACTAGCCAGCAGGTAAAAATCAGCTTAGCATATGACCAGATAGGAATCCTGCCACATAGTTTCAGAGAAATTCAAAAAGAAATAATCAGACTCATTATCCGTCTCATACAAATACTCTAAAATATAATCCAGAAGATTACAATAAAACAATCTTCAATAAAGAAAATCTATGATATAAAGTGTCCCTGCACAATTAAGTTTACCGGCCATTTTGTGGTATAGCCCAAACCTATGACAGTTCTAGATATAGCTTTATCTACAACACTGTCACTGAAACTTTATTTTCCCTTCATAGCAGTAAGAGTATAAAGGAGTTGTCAAGAATGAACCCTAAACAAAAGAAAAATACAACAGAAGCATTTGGCGAATGACTAACACAGACCACATGAATGTGAATTTGGAAATGGTTCTGTTTGTTTTCCATTAAAATTCATTTCTTGAAAAAAGCACACAACGCCAACCATCTGCAACTGCATGTTAAGAAAGTGACTCTCTTTGTTAAGAAAAAAAATCAGTTCAAGAAAAGAATATCTCTAAAGATTGCATTTTCCACAATCATAAAGTTCGAAGTTTGCAATTTGGCTTACAATAGAAATTACATTGAGTGTCAATTGTGCATGCTGTATCACCAATTTTATGTAAGTTGGTGTAAAACAAGGATTTCTAATCACAAAAGGCTTTCAAGCAACAGATTCCATTAAAGTGAACCAGAGCATGTGCATACATGTGCATTTGTGAGCATTTGAACATTGTAAAGCATTCGTTTATAACCAAGAAATTCAACAAACAAATTGCGGAAGAAACCTTAAAAAACAAGTTTACAATTACAAAATCATAAATCTCAAATTATATGTAGAAAAATTCGATGAAAACAAATTTACCATTCAATGAGTTTGGCAAAGGTGAGCTCAATGAGAGTAATCAGAGAATAGAGCACCCAGTAAGTAAGCCATTGTTGATCATCAACAGGAGACTTAGTCTCAATTGCTCTAACAGAGGCATATCTGTTAAAAGGACCCAAACCACAAAACCATCATATCATCTAGTCTGAACAATTAAACTTGTATATCAAATATTACATGTACCGACTTGCAGAATCAGAAACTAAACACAATTGAAAAACCTAAATAAAAGATAATGCCCCTTCAAAAGAAGGGAGAGAGAAGAAGTAGACGGCACTTACAGAGGGTAGACAAGACTAACCACAGGCCTACAAATCAAACCCAGAAGCTAAATTAGAATATAATGCCCAATATTTATAAGAACTTAAAAAAAAAAAAAAAAAATGAAGTCTTTTTTATTTGAATTTATAATGCCCCGTTTGTTCTAGAGTAGTTCAATATAGTATTTTTGGTGAAAATTTTTGAACTTTATGGTTCCACTAACTTCAATGCCTTAACGTTAGGTGCAAAAATATGATTTTTATACACTTATTGCTTTAGTTTATCAAAACTATTTCGTACAGTGGGTAAAGAGGACGAAGAAGAAAAATACAGCAAGCAAGAACATAAAATTTTATGAGAAATTATCTTCGCAGTTCCAGAAAACTTAGTGTGTTGTTATTAATACCTTAAAAAAATTCTGTTATAAAATATGTATATTTGCCAGATAACATCAGAAATAGATAACTGAGTAAAGTCGGAGAAAGAAGAAGAAACATACCCAGCAAGAATATCAAAGTTCTTAAGTATAACTTTTAAGAAGTTTCCAGCCCCAGATCCCATATCTGATCTTCTCAATCTCAAGCGTTTTTATTACCCTTTTATTCTTGTTTTGATCTGCAAATTTCAGCAGAAGTTTGTTTTTTTTTTTTTTTTTGTTCGTTTATTCTAGTGAGAGACTGTTGCGTTGTGTTGAGACTTGAGAGTAAGGGAAAAAGCAAACAAGTGATTAGAAAGCATTAAAGTAGTAATAAAGGGAAAAATAATTTGAGTCCCTGTTTTTTCGAGAATACAACTTTGGCCCAATAAAACCTGAAATTGATATTGTCATCCTAAACAATCAACAGAGATAAGAGGGTCATAAAATATATTTTATGAAGAAGATAAGAATAGCAAAACAATAAATTTTGATTTTACATTTTAGTCTCCTTTATTTCATTTGAATAAGGAAAGAAACGATAATTATACCGAAAAGTATGAAAACCATTAATAATAAGGTTCATTAATTAATTAGTAAGGATAAAAATGTCACTTTCCGATTTTAAAGGATCAAATATTTTTTTCCAAAAATTAGTGCCCCGAATGTAGTTTTCCCGTAGAATAAAACCTCAGATGAGGACAAAGTGAGTAGGGACAAGAAGGGAGGGTGGGCTTTGTTCAACAAATCATTACGTAATCCATCTGACTGAAAGGGACCATTTCTTTTACACGGAATTATTGAAGTCCCACACACACACACAAAATCTCTAGGAGGTTCTATTATAAAGAAAAACTATCCAATAGTTACATTACATTATTACCATTAATTCCTTCTTGCAATCGTGTCCTTGCAATTATTTGAGGAGAGGATATAATAAAACAGTAAAAGAACAGCTTAGCCTCCATCATTGACCCATTGATCTTCGCCCAAAGGGGCCAAGGGGTAGGTTTCTAATTTCTTCAGTTGCATCAAAATCTTCTATCAAGACTTGACCTTGGGCGAAAACGAAAACAAATTCCTGCGCCTCTTCGACCTGGAACTGGATTCTAAAAATGCCTTTATTCAATTGAGTGTTATGGACCAGAGTCAAGCCTGACTACATTAGTTATTCACATTTTGATATTATTGTCCTGACTAATTAGTTTTGTTACCAAAACATCAAAATCAACCGATCCACATCAAAAACAAATACACTAACCTACCATCATCCCATCTTGCAATATACACACCTAATTAACTAAGAAAGAAGGTGAAGAATGATCGAGTACAAATTACTGGACATAACTAACTTCATACGTCACTTGGAGCCTTGTTTCCACTACTGCAAATACTCTCCCCAAGGAGTTGGGAAGGCCACGAATCTGCAGACGTAGGGTACCTCGCATGAGGTTTGCTTACATTTGAAGCAGGTTTAGTTGAGAGTTGAGCAGAATCAGGTGTGGAATAAGCTTGGAGTTCAGGACGGATGGGAACAACATAAACAGCAGATGCTTGCTGCAAGGCAGGTTCTACAGCAGATAATCCATAGCTATCTCCAGGAAAATGTGATGCCTGAGATTCAGGAGGAGGTACGTTCAAGTCAGGTTTGGAGTGTGCTACCCTTGCTTCTATCTCACTTTGCAGCTTCTCAATCTGAGATTCTAGGGTAGAGTTCTCCTCCTCCAGTTCATTCTTCTCCACAGACACCTGCCCAACATTTCAAGCAACTTAAACGCACAGTGGCTGAAGAGAATGTTGCCATTAGTAAATATACAGGTTCCTTCTTGGTTCTCACAGAAAATAAATGAAGATAGAATATATGCAGAACCAATACAGAAAACCCAAATAAAATAAAATTATATATCAAATTCCGATAGAGCTTGCACATTGGAGAGGGAGGGCAGGTGAGGGAATTATCAGCGGAAAAAGGGCAGTGAAAATTACAAGGGCCTTACATATCGAGATTCAGACAACAAAGATGCATTCTCCTTTCTGAGTGAATCAATCTGACCAAACAAATCCTTCAACAGTCTGGTTGCTTCGCACAGTATTGAGGCTTTCCCACTGTTCTGCTGGTTCAGTTCTGTACAAGGGGAGTCCCTTAGTGAGATATAATCTGTCACCCTCTTCAAAATGACCTAGTCTTTAAAATTGAAACAAGGCTACTCATGAAGTAAAAACATTTATTGGCCTTTGGACAATTATGATGACAAGGAATGAAACAGGGCGGCAAACAAAAACATTTAAAGAGTTAAAAGTTACCAAGAGCATTGGCCAGGTCAATAAAAAGCTCGTTCAAATGCTCGCGCTTCATTTTCTCCCTTTCAGCCTTGTGAATTCTTCTAGGAGCTTTACCCTGATTCTTTTTGGTTGGACAAGGTCTGCACCACAAACAACTTTCAGACATCCAACTAAAATATAACAATTAACTGGTTTTAAACTCAATAAGTATCTTGTAACAACCCAAACTAGATGCTCCAGAAAAAGTATTTGCATCAGATTATTATTGAACTTTAAAACTTTTGCCCCTTGAAGGAGGTAGCAACAAGAGGTCATGTTTAAATGCCATGGCCATTTATAATACAATTCTCCTAAACTCTACAAAAGCTTTGAACTAGAAGCTAACCATCTTATGCTGCTTTAACGGGCTCTAAACATAAACCATAAGATATTACACTACATTTCCTTGTAAACGTTACAAACCGTAACAGCATAATACTGATTTATTTTCCAACTATCAAGATGTAACCCAATGACTACATATGGGGCAAGCAAAATAAACCAACTAAAATTAATTTTAAGATCTTTAATAACTAACCTGTCAATGGATGGATCTGTCAGCACATTGACCTCATCAACCAAGGGAGAAAGATCCTCTGAACCCATGACTATCTCAAATGGGATAAGGGCCTTCAGTAAAAAATCCCCTGAAATACAAACCGGTATCGATTCAATCTTTCAAATCCGTTTAATGAAAACTAACAAACCAAAGTACGCATTCAGCCACTCATTAAAGAAGAGAAAATATAATTACGGTACCATCATCGTACATGGGGATAGATTTACTAAACCTAGTTTTTTGGTTACAATATTTGCATAAATAATTCATTTCTGTAAGTGGCATAAACTAATTTACTTTTCCGAAAGGACGTTTATCAGTTCATAGAAACAATAAATTCGATAACAAAACAAACTGACCAAGACTTGATTGATACCGATTTCATGTTTAACAAACAAAATTACAAATATTTTTATTCTTTCTAACCATTTCCATAAGCTTTCTCCATCATTTTCTTACCAATAAATCAAGAAAACACAGAATTTAAAGATCACAAATATATTACCACCAAACGAAAACCCAGAACAACGAAATTAAAGCCATATACAAAAACCCTAGATCATAAGAAAAAAAAATAATAACAAAAAATTGTAAAAGAATACCTCTTGAATCAGCAGCTTAAGAAGAAAAACAGAAAAGAATTGACGACAGGAATGTGAAAAAAAAAATGAAAAATAAAAACCTAAGAAGAGGAAGAGGAGAATTTGACTTTAAATGAGAGAAATTTAACAAAAATAAACAAGAAGAAGACCTTGGAGTGTTGAAAGGCGTCGAATGTGTGGCGGGAGAATACGATACACAGGATGGCGCGTGTCAGCAACGGGCCACTTCGTTCAATGAACCAGGACACGTGAGGCGGACACGTGTTTTTATTAAATTTTCTATTTTCTTATTTATTTTTGTCGCATGCTGCGTGCCTGCCATTCGCTTTTTTCATTATGCACAACACGTCATCCAGAAACTAAACAAATTTCATATAATTTTATTTCAATTTATTTTTATTTTTTGTTTTTTATAATAATCTTTACCAATATGTCACATATTGTCACGTGCTTTCAAATTGTAAAGATAACGTAAGAGAGAAAGAGCGTGTGGCATCCACAGGGAAGCTAATTGCGTGCGTGCTTACGTACGATTGAAAAGAAAGAAAGGGACAAATTATAATACACGAGGTGGCAGTGGCACAACCCAAAACAGAGTATAACTAATTTATCAGTAAACTGCAAACTTTCACTATTAATACATGATTGAAGAGGCAGCCATTGTTGGAAAACTTTCTTTCTTGATTAAAATGAGCATGTAGTTTGGAATCTTCAGGGCTTTGAGCATCCCAGTGGGAACCTGCGAACCTTCATTCGTCCGTCCAAGGCGAGGGCCAGCAAGTCATATTCTTCCACATACCAGAGCTCAGACACCTTTGCCTGTATTCAAATGCAATCACGGTCAGCTATATATGATTCATGTCATTGTGTTTTTGCATGCAAAATAACAACTTACCTCAAATCCACGAATCTCGCTGTTTAGACGAGCAACTAGCTCATGGAAGAATTTGAGTTGATCTGAAGTATTTTGATGCTCCTGCACATGACACGTGATTGCAAAATCAGCAATTTGATACGATAATGTTTGTTTGCGGCTTAATCTGGGCTGAGGACATTATAAATGTCAAAAATGCTAGGACATTTGTCTAACTTCTTAGTAACGTTATAATTAGGAGTATCCTATAGTCAAAAGGTTATCTAGCAACAATGGCGTAGGGGACGGATTTTCCAGATGCTACGCCGAGTTAACTGTCACTATCTGGCTTTGTCACGGGACTGGCTATATCTTCCCCTCAAGTTCAACTTACTTCCATGAGGTACACTGTAGACTACATAATACCCTTCAAATATAATTTCATACCGAAAAAACCTTTCAATCTGTTAAGTGATTTCAGCCGGTGGTCTGAGATCAGAATTGCTCAAACGTTTCTGCAACCGTTTTCACATGTTCACATACATGTGAAAACAAATTCAACTTCATCAGAACTGACAGCACCTTATAATTTATATTTCACTAGCTTCGTTTAAAGCTAACACCAACTATTACTGCTCGACAACAGATATAAAGCAGCTCAGTTTTCCGTTTGCTAGTTTGCAATTCTAAAATCCTACATGATGTCAATCAGTGACCTATGAGGATAACTGAATGCAACAAACTAGATGATACTTTTATAGTACTACCATGGATGAAGCCGTCGGGTGACCCAGAAGCCTTGCAAATGATGTGTGAAGAATAGCAGCATCATACTGCAGCAGAAAGAAGATTAGTGAGTGCTTTCAAAATTCACAATTTTGATGGCAGTATAGCTAGACACATATTTATCATTTCCATTGCAATGTTCATACAAGGGAAGAAAATTTATCCAGTTATGAAAAAAATTAGCACTAAACAGATCATCATGAAGCTATGACATGAGTTTGGGACCCATTAACAGAAATATATAACCGTTGCAACTGAAACAAGATGAAAAACTATCATTTAGGACATGGTTTGAGTTCAGAGCAATACTGATAACTAGCTGAAGAAAAATTGCATAAGTAATAATTTAAAACGTGGATTTTTTTTTTTTTTTAAACAGAAAACTGTAGATTTAATGTTTTGTTAGATATATGGAAACAAAAAAATAATGAAAGTTATTAGCTACTTTGATTGAAGATTGACCCAACCATGCATAGCATAGTGCAGACAGAACATAAGAAACTTGGAGAAAGCTGGTTAACGTAATAAGTTCCCTTCTTGTTCGGTGGGTGATTTGGATGAAAATATAGACGAAGAAACAAATATGCATGTTTGTGAAGATTACAATCATTTCCAAATCTTAGTGCAAATTTCCTTGTTTTTTAGCTATCCAACATTGCATGCCTGAACATTATATTTCACCATTTTCAGGTTCTGAAAGATTAAAACAAGCTTTTCACACTATTTCACAGTATATAAGATTTCATTTAGTTCTCACAAGCTGCTTTTCAGGTGCATGTGGAAGTGCAGTTCTCAGTTTAGCACGAACAGTTACAGGATCAGCTCCAGAGATCACCTACACCAAAAATTAGGGAATTAATGTCAAATGATACATTAACTTTTAATATGATAGTTCCCAGTGAAATCTGGCACAACTGCCACTAAACATTTAAGTCACACAGAATGGTTCCCTCATCCCTGGCACAAAGGTATCACTAAATGGTTAATCTTCCTAGAGAATAACTAACAAAAATGAGGACAATACACATCCATTATATTCAAAATGACATCAGGAAATGCAAGGAAAGAAATAACTTCACATATGTATATTGAGAGCCTAAATTATACATGAAGCTTTAGGAGAAGAAATAAAAAAATTGCCCTTCCCAAGGCAATAAGACGAAGGTAATTTATGTGCCCAACCTAGAGTGTTGAAAACAATGAGTTATAAGAATCTGATATCATACTTTCTTTCACCAAAAACCAAAAGAATTATATAATATATCATTATTTTCCTTTTCCTTTTACTTTTCACGTGTGAAAATTCCAAAACCATTAACGCTGGCCAGTATCAATGCAACTTTTCTGAGTTGGAGATGATTTGCATGAATCCGATCCCAACTCCACCAGAATCTACAGTAATTGTTTTGACAAGTGAATAAGACAGAAGAAGGTAATTCCAAAGGTTTCAAATGATAATTTCCACCCAAGTTACAGAAGATAAAACTTCCACGTGACAGTACCACATTCAGAATGCAGAAGTTCAATTTCTTTCCAGAGACATAATTTCCATAATATTCATTGTTGCTCCTGTTTTATATTCGTTTACAAGTGCATGTCTGTCACAGAGAGAGAGAGAGAGAGAGAGAGAGAGAGAGGTAGGACAGTAGGAAAGAAAGTAAGAGGAGAATATAAGTTAAAGAAAGTAACCTGCCAGCAACCCAGAAGCACACCTGTTGAAGTTAAAACCACCCTGTCTAGGACAATTTTTAAAGAACAGAGGCCCTCTGCCACAGCTCTAACAGCAGCTGCTTCAGCTTCAATCTAACAAAACGGAAAAGGATTCAAAGTTTAGATCAAAACCCGAGCAAGAAGAGTTAAAAGCATAAAAGAGATATCAGAACTAGCTTAAAAAGGCAACATACCTCATCTTCAGTGGCAGGAACAGGTGAAATATGATGGGAGGCATGAAACATGCTAAAATGGTACAAACTTGAATTCTGAAACCAGATTGCTAACAAAGATACATGTAAGCATGCCAAAAATGGGGTAACAAATAAATAAAATTGAAAATTCTACTCAATGAAGTGGAAAAACATAATACTATGTATTATCCTATGCAAAAAATGATTAACAATAATGCTACGGACATCAATTTTTTGCACCGAAATTTTTTACCGAACGACATGGCTTCCGGTCAGACACAAACACGTTGGACAAAAAACACGTCTCCCGTGAATGGACGATCGTCCAACAATCACAGACAACCGTCCATACTTTATGGACGACCGTTCATCACAAATATGGACGCCCATCCAGAAAATTTTAAAAACAAAATGATCTTATATGGACGCCCGTCCAGAAAATTTTAGAAACAAAATGATTGACACCCCTCCATTTAATACGGAAGGGCGGTCATATACAATGGATGGCCGTCCATATGCAATGGACGACCGTCCACATCATCATTATGTTTATACATTTGCAAGGACTTTTCCTTCAGATTTCAACGCATTATTGTCACAAAGGCTACCCACTTGCTCCATATTTCTTATCTTTTTGTGTGGTCATTGTTATTAGTGAAATTTAATTGCTAAGTCAATGCCAAAACAGGACCTTCTGCTTAATTTGACCTCTAAAAATAAGTTTTGAATTTACATTCATTTTGAAACACTTTCTTAACTGCCAGAGGAACTCTGTATCTAGACACTGGCTTGTGTTGTGGCACAAGAATGGTGACGCATTCCAGATGACGTATTATATTGGAGCAAATCTCAAATGTGGGTTAAATTACTATAGACGGTCGTCCATTGCATATGGATGGCCGTCCATTGTATATGGATGCTCGTCCGTATTAGATGGACGAACGTCAATCATTTTGGTTTTAAAATTTTTTGGACGGGCATCCATCTTATATGGACGCCTGTCCATAGTAAATGGACACCCATCCATATAATATGGATGGGGGGTCCATTGATATTTTTGTGGATGCTCGTCTATTCGTGATGAACGGTCATCTATAAAGTATGGACGGTCGTCCGTAATTGTTGGACGGCCGTCCATTCACGGGAGATGTGTTTTCTGTCAAACGTGTTCACGTCTGACTATGTCGTTTGGTAAAAAATTTTGGTGCAAAAAACCGGTGTCCCTAGCATTATTCAATGATTAATTAGCTCCAAAACATAAATTTACAGAAACAAGATTCATGTGAAAAAGTCGGCTTTATAGCAGCTTACCGTTATACAAAAAATGTGTACTGAATATCAAGTAGTTTACAGCCGCTCTGTCAGCAATACAAGAGCATCAATTTAAAATTTAAGCATCAAACTGTCACAATGAACTAAAAAATATATACAACAAAAGTTACTAGGGTCAAAAGTTCCAAAGCATCCCAAACATTCATGCAAAGCGCAAAATATAAATATTATTCTTAATTAATTTCAAAAACTGGAGCTCAAATTGTATTTCCTGCCATCGCAGTTGTCAAAGTGTGCAATCATTGACAAAAATCACACTTTATTTTCTCAAAAGAATCGTAAAATCAAAAATCCTAAGGAAGGGTTCAGAGATAAAAAAAAGGATGTTTTTCGCTTTGGTAGTTCTTGAGTACATTTATTCAATCACACAAAATGTAGCTCTTGCATATACAACTATTAATAACAAAAGACATAGTAAATCACAATATCACGAATAACAAATAATGCTTACGAGATATGCACTGAGTACCTGTGCTCATATACAAAACATTTGCTCGTACAGGAGGATTTGCTGCCTGAGAAACAGAAGATGAGCCCATGACTTATAAGATATCCAAAATAGCCAAATTAAAGCCTTGCAACTGAATTCACGTATATGTTACCTTTAAGACAGGTGTTACAGTCTCCTTCGTTCTCTTGCGGATTGAAGATGGTCTTAAAGAGGACATGACTGAGATGTTTCCCTTGCTTCAGGAAAACTGCTCATGTTCATCCAAATCCCTTTGCCACTTAGCATACAATTTTGTCCTCCCGCCCACTCCATTGCAATATGATTGATTCGATAAAACCACTCCATAAAGATCAGCGCACCCTACTATGTTTTTGATGTGTCCAGTAGCACGCGCACCGCACTATGCATCCTTCAATGCACTGCAAATTTTTTACTCACTAAAAACTCTAATTAAAACAGTCTGTGACTCTTTAGTCAGAATCTTATTAAGATTTTTCGAGATTCAATCACCGTAATACTGGCATAAAGCTTGCAAATTATATAATTGTCAATCGAATTTAAATCTTAAACCTCGAAAAGGTCTCCACCAAATTCTGCCCGTCCATAAACAATTATGCGGGCCATTCCAGTCTAGTAACGTCGGTCTGCCAACCTAACCACTATTACACATCGCTTCGCACTATTTATCGTCTCCTCAGTCCGGATCACATGGAATCATAAATACACAGGCGTTTGTTCATACATATTCAAAGACTCAATGAAAAATTCATCTTTCATAGGCAGGCACACCCTTTACAGATCAACTCATACGAGAATCTTATAGGCAATAAGTCAAAAATTCCTTCAGTGACCAAAGACGAAGAGAGAAATTACCTGAAACAGAAGCAAGGGTCACAGTTCTGAGAATGAATATTGAGGGCCATGTGGAAAAAGAGTAAACACGCCGAGACGAGCTAAACCAGGATGAAGCACGCAGGGTTCGTTGTAAGGATGTGGCCAACCGAAATTCTTAGCCCTTGACAACATTTGTCTGTCGAATTTGATAAGGATGCCATTAAAATCTCATAAAAGATACTTAATAGTGGGAATTGGCTATTTTGAAACGGTGTAGCTGAGGAACGGCATAAGACGATGAAAGCTTTTGTTGTGGTTAATTAACTTTACACTGTCACCTAACTGTCTAATTCTTTCATTTGTGGTTGTCTGTAACTTTTTATCTCTCTCGGACGTTTTTTTTTTGTTTTTTTTTTTACTTCACAATGACAAGTTTTTCGTTTTTAATTGTTATGTCTTTTACTTTTTTTTTATAAATTCATTGTCTCTCTCACGTCCATATGATGTAAAACGGAGATGCACCATTGGTGATTTTGTAGCATGCACATGAATCCACACAGAAAGGCATTGTTTTGTGGTTTTTCCTAATCTTCTTTGGATTTTCTCTCACTTTGGCTTTTCATCCAAACACTCTGTTGCTCTGCCAATCATACTCTGTAAACATATCATTGAAATCCACAACATCTTCAATGTGATAAATTTACTAAAATCATGATTCACGTGAGATTTTTGTTACTTTTATGTTATAGGTAAGTATGACTAAAATTTGTAAAAATTCATACCTATTTTCCACTTTGCTTACGATAGAAGAAATAATAGATATTAGATATGAACTAGCCATGAAAATGACTCAACGAAGAGACACCCATTTATTAGCTTATAAGGACCTGTCTCTGCTCATGTTATACATCAGTCCATGACCATGTCCAGACAAAATCACACCACATGTTTATCTTTCCAAAAATACAAAAAAAAAAAACCCCAAATGATGAATAATTAATCTTACCTCTTTCGACAACCACATTTTACTTTTTATATTCTGAAACGTGTTCCTAATTAAGCCTTCAACTACATATTAATGTAACTTTGAATTTTAGTTACTTGGTAAATTTTGACCATTGGCTTTTGGATACTAAGCCAATTTATGCATATTTACTAATCGTCGAGCGCTCTAAAGTTACATCGTTCGATCATATCTTTTCAGTTCGTGCATCATCTCATCAGCGAATAAAGAGTTCGTCAATATCATGATCTTTTTGGTCCTAATCACTCGATCTCATGCTTTTATTGCTGTGAAACGAATTCGCTTGGATTATGGGATGTGCCTATGCGTTAAAACCCCCCACTTCACACATAAAATGGAGTGTAGTGGGTTTCGCATTGAGTATGGTCTGCTAATGTGTATAGTGAGATGTCGTAGGTCTAGTGGCGACGTCTTGTCGTTTGGCCTCACACTTCGTGGTTCTCGTCTTCTTCTTTCTTGCTGCCGGGAGCTGGTGACTTTGTAGTAGGCTACCCATTCACCTCACTTGCGTGTGCCTTATATTTACCACACAACTCACATTTCTTGGGTCGCACAACTTTACTTTTAGGTTGCCTACAGCGCAGAGCTTCTCATCGCGGCTCTCCGCCGTGTCTGCGCTCTATCTTGCTGCGTATTGCGCGATCTCTTCACTCTTCTGCTCCTTGGGCTCGTACCGATAGTGGATCGTACAAGCGCGATAGTATCTATTCTTGAGGTAGGCTGAAGGAGTGGGACAAATACAAACGTGCATGGGGTAAGGAAAACAAAGAAGAAGCAAGGGCGTTCAGCCATTGCCCGACTTCCGAGGGAGAGCGCTAGAGTACTTACACGACAGTGACGGAACACATGCAAGGCAGTGAGGCTTCATCCCCGAAAGAGCGGAAGGTGTGAGAATGGGGGCGGGGGCTGTGCTCTTGTTGCGCTGGCTAACTAGCGGTATCGGACAATTGTGAACACAGAGTCCGGAGCTTCACCACCTGCACGCCGAATGGAAGGAATGCCCGCCACATGTATTCTGGGCGTTGGATGGTGAACCTGCAACCTCATGATGGGTATAGCGTGCTGCAAGGGTGAGTAGTATTATGATGAAACAAGAACCTAGTGGAGAGATGTAAGAATTTGCTGGCCCGCCTGAGAAAGGCGATACGCCGTTTTCGTACTCCATCTGCCTCTTGTCGGCGATTAAGAGCTTGGGACTCGGGGGGCGGGGAGCTGATGCGCGGCGTGCGGCGTCGTAACTGAGACTGGAATCTCGGCCAATGGGGGGCGTCGTCAAGGTCGGAGGGCGACGAGCAACCACGGTGCGAGCCTAAGCAACTTAACCGGTGATCTCGGGTGGTTTGCTTTCACCACTGGCTGCCGGGGCAGTCTCTGCGAGTCTCATGCATGTTAGGTGAAGTCGGCGTGTCTGTCGAGTAGCAGCGGTCTCCGACGGTCATGAGTGAAGGTCAGCACGTGTGCTGACGAAGAGTGTGGAGCTGCGTGGTCTCAGTGCTGCGGTCTAGTGGGGATGCGCGCCTGTACGCCAGTGTGGAGAGAGAGAGGGTTCCGCGCAGTGCGTGGATCACATCGCGCGACTGGATTTGGGGTTCATTGTCCATGGTGCGAAAAAAAAGGTACGGCTAGACCCTTGCAATTCTGGTTGAATCGTGTGGTGTTGGTATAAACACCCATGTCCCCCCACACCTAGCTCTACGAAAATCCAAGTTTACAAGCCAAAACAGTGCGCCTACAAATTGATTAGCAACTCTAGGACCGTGCAAACCGGTTTGGGCATAACCTTGAATTCATCTAATTCACCAGTAATATGGGGGATGTTTCAGACGTTAGGTGGTTAATTGATATGAGAAAAATCCAATAAAAGGAGTAAAGCATCCCACGCAACAAAATGAAGTTAAGAAGAAGAACGTTTATTGGAGGTGACCCAATCACCCGTCAGCTGTAGGCTAATCAACTAAATCCTTCAGTAATAGAACAACAAAGTAAACGGCCGATAAGCTCCGAGGTGGAAACTCAAACTCATAAGTTTATTGAATAGATTATTTTACTCGTACTACAATTAGTCTAAAGGGAGTCAGGTTTCACAAATGGTTCTCCATAAAGGATAATCTTTTGTTTTCAAATTAAGGTATGAATTAATTTGTCTGGGTTTGCAGTAACTTTGTACAAAAATTAAAAGTATGTTAAACTATTTTTTGGACGATTCCTGGGAAGAAAATACAAACACAGTGATAATTCAATTTAGTGCTGTACAATTGTAACATATTCCTTTGACAGTTGTCGGTGATGTTCCCTTACCCCCATAATTACCTTTAAATGATTCACTAAAGAAACCTGAAGAAATAGGAATATCCTCTGAGAAAGCAGAAGAATAGGCAAACTAAAAAGAAAAAGGGTTGATTGAATGTAAGGGAAGAGAGAAATGGTTGAGAGTTGGTAGGGATGAAAACTCAAAACTATTTCCACATTTTTCCAATGAGACCCAATCATTCAATGTGACCATCAAAACATGGCCCCAAAAAATGAACGGTACAGATTTAATGGTTGATGGCCACATATCAGTCAGGGTATCATTAAACCCACCACAATCTGGGTGGCAGGCCAGGCCAGTATAAACTTACTTACCTACTAAATTACTTACAATTTCAAAAGA